AATTGTATTTATCCATATTTCGCGCTCGCCAATTACGAATCATCGAAGGAAGGAATCATTCTTGTTTTTAATTCATTTTTTTCTTTTTTGTTTTGTTTTGTTTTCTTTTTTTTTTTTTTCATATCGTTTTTAAATCAATTCTTTCTCAGATACGAAAGTACGTGTAAAGGGCATTATTATTCGAAATTGATTGGTTTTTTTTTTTTTCGTGGATGATGTGCCTCTTTGTATAAAAAATTATCGCTGCGTTAATATTTTGCGGAGATTTTAAAAAAATCGTCAATATCGATGTCGCGTATGTCCGATTCGCTTGATTCGCCGATTTTTTTATTTCGTCATGAGCAATAGAAAAAGCATCGTCATTTCGATTACCATTTTAGGGAAACACGCTAACCGAGATTCCTTCACAGTAATCGATAATGTCAAATTAAAAAAGAAAAAATATATATATATATATATATATAAAACGTATCGAATTGTTCTATCAAACGTGTGCAGTTTCATACATGCATATGTACAAGAAGACACGTAAAAATCGATCATTGTTTCTACGTGTCACGGAAAAACACAAGAAGTCATGGAAAAAAAGAAGAAAAACACAACGAGACACCGATCACGAACAAATATTTTCTCTTGGCCGTTTATTATGGCGACACGAAGTCTTTGAGAAAGAATTCGTTCGCTGTAAATGAAGAATAAAGAAACTATAAAAACGCGCACGAATTTCCCTTCAGCTATCATTTAACATAACTCGGTTTATATATTAATTTACTATAATAGCTCTCGCTCATTCTTTCTCACTCACTCACTACATTCGTCACATGAACGCTTCTCTTTTTTTACCTTACACACTTTCTCGCTCGTTCCTATCTCTCCCTCTCTTTCTCTCATCAGTCACATTAGATCTTTTTTCTTTTAGACATACACGATAGTTACGAAGTATTGCTTTCTTTTAGTCGCGTGCCGATCGCGGTTCGCCTTCCAACCGAGTCACAGCGGACGGTTTCCCGTCGACGGCGAAGATTCGTGTCGAGCGTAACAATTAATTTCGCACTTTGCCACGGGATAAAGCTTCCGCGAGAATTTTGCGATCTCTCTGTAAAAATTGGGAAGATCCATTCAACGATAGATGGATAAAATCGAATCAAATCAAATTGAAAAATTTCTTGAGTTCAGGACAAATTTTGTAATTGTATAATATAATTATATAATATATAATATTTAAAAAATTAACGTGCTAATTTCTAGAAGCATAATTCTCACGGTGCTGTTTCGCTCAAAGGTGACCATGCGCTAAGCGTAAAGTTAACTCGAGTACGCAGGACCTTTTTAAACATATCATATTTCCGTTTCTTCTTTCTCTTATTCTCTTTCCCCTATTATTTCGCGCATAAACGAATACACATAGAAACGTGTCTTTTTCCCTTTCGTGGTATCTGTCGGCTCCCTCATGATTTCGAGAGCTTACACAAACCATTTGGATTGCATGCCGAGTATCTAAAACGCTATTACATTGCGAATGACAGGTAACGGCGAGTTAACGGACAAATCAGACAAGCGTCGTTTATGAATACGTGTCTCTCTTTAAATATCGATACAATATTCTCGAGAGGGAAACGATCGTCAAAATGTATAATGAAAAACGATGAAAAAAACGATGAAAATTTTTGCTACGCGAAAAGAGACCTGATGTTGATCGTGAATGTGCGGTGAGAGTCAAGCCCGGAGTTGCTTATGGCTCAATGCTAAATGACTTCGAAAAGTAGGAATGAATGTAAAAACCCGTGTTAAAGTTACGATATATAAGGTTTGTGTATCGAGGAAATATCGAAAAACAGTGGATCACAGACTGATATGCCTCGTGTTACCCCGGGCTTTATCTCATCGATCAGATTCGAGAATGAAAAAAAAAATCGCGATAACGATCTATCGACGTACGAGAACAGAGACAATTCGAATGGAAATGGAATTGTCGCCGCATTTCGAAAAACGAAACAAGAACAAAAACGGTTTGAAAATGTTTTGAATTTCGGACGTGACGATCGATCGTTAAGCGATAAACAAAAGAATCGTTTTATAAATTCGAAAACGCACGTCGTTTAACCATCACTTTCCGTTACTTCGTAGAAAAATGCATTGTTCTTAGAACGTGGACGCGAATCTACTATACTTGCGTGGGTTTGCGACACACTGGCTATACACAACGGATATGTACAGCGGCTTTTTTATCAATTTTTTTTTTNTCATTTATTGTTTAAGGTTCACCTAGCACACAAGTCTTAATACCGTTTTACTAA